TATTCTTTGGTGGGATTGTCGATAAAGCAAACGTATGCTTTGCTATAAAAATCGACTACGTAACTTTCTTTTTCATGTTTAAGAATTGTTTCGAGACTACCAGTAAATCAGTAGTATGAGATGTATTCACACAATTTCCTGGTAGAAGAATTTTTCCACAATGGTATGAATAGTGCTGACGTTTCCATTAAATTTCACATGTCATATTTCTGATTTACTGGTAGTCTCGAAACAATACTTAAATGTGGAAAATAAAGTCGATTTGTATAGCAAAGCATACGTTTGCTTTATCGACAATCCCACCAAAGAATAAGATATGACAAAATAACTTGGATGAGAACAACTTTCGGAAAAGCAAGACAATGTGAAATTGAATGGAAACGTCAGCTCAACTCATATGATTGTGTGAAAATTGTTCTACCAATCCTTCATCACCTTAAACCCAATTGGGTGAATACATTTCAAAATTATAACCTTGTATTTCCAACTGTGGTTGAAATGGAATATGTCGGTTTCCCATAAAAATCTCTGCCTAACTAAACCCATTTCTTTCCATAGCGTGGCATTGTGAATCATTTACATGATTTACTCATACACGAAAAAGGTATGCCAATTTCTAAGTGGTTCGACCTCGTTTTCACAACTTGGCCGTGTTGTCAACACGCAGAGATGAACACTTACTGTGCAGACTCCATGGTACCGACGACAATTTCCAACGCAGGACCGCGGACCGGTTGAGGGACCTTGTCATACTTTGCACCACAAAATGTCTTCTTTGTCCGTCTCTAATCAGTGCATTGTTTGGCACCTTCGAGTAAGGTTGCATTCCTCTTCATAGTTGGCTCGCTCGTTGGTACACGATACGCATAATGGCACAAAATTGTACGGTTTACTTCTGTCTCCATTCTGGCCCGGCTCATTGGCTGTGCCGGTGAAACGTCTGGGAATGTACCAAATCCGCGGGCCTATGATGTAGATTGGCATGGCTACTATGCACTTGGGACAATAGAACCAACAAGATGCAACCAAGTGGCTGAAACCCCATTTCTACCCAACAAAAAAGCCACACATCATCTTGCATTGTGCATTTTCCATGTGCAAGTACAGTTGATTGCTTGTCCCTTTTTGCCGCAATGCCTCAGTCTGCAGCGCGAGACAATCGGCTCTCGGTTTCCGCTGCTGCCACTTGACGAGTTGCTTGGACGCGAAAGGAAAAGTCAACTCGTCCGCGTGGAGGAGGCCTGTGCTAATTGACCGGAAGACGAAGCAGACGCCTCGGAGACACGTCGCCGGTCCACCACCCGACCAGTTGGCCAGATTTGGCACACCCCTCGGCTGTGATTCCACGGCCTCCACTCCACTCCACCCCACTCCAC